GCTGCAGCCTTCAATAGTTTCAGAAAAGTATAATTCTCTTGTTCTACGTAGTACTCTGTTAAACTCACACAACTTCTCTTTTAAGAGTCTATAATCACCCTGGAGGTTGGACTTTCTCCACTTTCTCTCTGCTCTCCGGCACTCTTGCTTCTGTGCCCTGACCGGGCCTGCTTTTATCCATGGGGCTTTTTGCTTATTTGTGACCATTTTTACCTTCACAGGGGCAATGGCGTCCAGAACATTCAACACACTAGAGGTGACAGAGTTAAGCAGTTCATCTACAGTAGAACATGATGTGTTCTCAAAATGGATCATTCCCATAAATAGTTCACCCGTGTTTTCATTTAAGTGTCTACTTCTAACAATTTCATATTTAGCGGGTGGTCTGGTAGCAAAACACATGTTAAAAAATACACAGAAATGATCCGACAGAGCAACATCAACTACATTAACTTTTGAAATATTCACCCCTTTCGTGATAAGCAGGTCCAAGGTGTGTCCTCTGCTATGGGTGGGGCCACTCACATGCTGAGTGAGGCCAAAGGATTCAAGTATGGAACTCAGCTCTTTTGCGTATCTGTCATTAACATTATCCACATGAATATTAAAATCGCCTATAATGACTAAACCATCAAAATCTGTGCACACAACTGAAAGCAACTCAGTGAAATGATCAGTGAAACTATGGCATGACTGTGGCGGCTTGTACACAACAATAATAAGAATGGAAGAAGATTTCTTTTGTTCTATTTTAAAAGAAACATACTCAAATGATGAAAATTTCCCAAGAGACACTCTATGGGAGACAATACGATCTTTAAAAACTGCTGCTATGCGCCCCCCCCCCTTTTATTTTCTCGTGTTTCATATTCAAATTTGAAATTTGGTGGTGAGGCTTCTATTAAAACTGCATCTCCTGTATTATGGTCAAGCCACGTTTCAGTCATAAACATAAAATCAAGATCATGCGAACAGATAAAATTATTAATTAAAAATGATTTGTTGCATAGTGATCTGACATTAAGTAGAGCAAGGTTAAAATTAATATCAGTGTCAGTGGGTTTAGTTGATTGATTACAAAGAACTGGAATTAGATTTCCAGAGTTGGACCGTCTAACTGCTGTCCTTTTAAATTTGTGTTTATTCAAGTTAAAACACATTTCTGAGCTGGTGCGAGGAACACACACAGTCTCTATTGGTTTAAAAAGTGAACTCTGTTGTACTTTGTTAAGTTCCAGATGCATAACTGAGTCAGCACAGTTCAGTGGCAGGACTGTCGTTACACTGCCAGACGGACAGGGGTCAGTGTTTGCACCACAGTACTCACCCGGTGCTGGTAAGGAAGAGGAGGGGGGTGGTGGGGGCCGAGAAGCCTCAGATGTAAACAGTCACGCCCCCCTCGGGGAGCACTGAACAACATGGCGCAGGAAGTCCGTCAACAAACTGGTGCCGTATCTGTTCGGGTGCAGACCATCTGGACGATAGGCCACGTGACGCTTCCAGAACAGGCCAAAGTTGTTCACAAAAATAAAGTTAAAAGTGCTGCATGTAGACTGGAGCCACATGTTGAGCGCCACAACGCGACTGTAGAGGCAGTCACCCCGGTTTACAGTCGGGACTGGACCAGAGATAAAAACACACAACCCGGAGGACTGGAGGAGGCGGAACAGATTCATAAAGTGCTTCTTTGTGACCTCTGACTGCTGCAGCTTCATATCATTTATACCCACATGCACGATTACCTTGGATATGGTATCAGGCAGGGAGTGAAGCAGAGGAGGGAGACGGATGAGCAGATCTGGGACTGTAGCTCCGGTAATGCAGTGAGTGACCGCGTTAAAAAAGCGGACGTGCCTCACGATGGAATCTCCAACGATCAGAGTAGTTGGGGCGAAAAGTGGACGCGGCCGCGGAGAAGGCGCTCGGTGTCCATGGCCAGAACCAGCGGGCTCATCCAGGGATGGGTCCGAACCAGGGCGCTGCTGAACACATGGAGAGTAGTGGGGGTGTTGATTCTCAGCTCCGGGCAACCCACGCTGTGTGCACGGAGACGCTGGAGCGGCGAGAGGAGCAGGCTCGGGTCTCTCTTGGAATGAGAATTAGATAAAGCACATTTCTTGGCTTTGTCCCATTGGCAAATTTAGTTTCAGGGCAATTAACCAATAAATCAATCAATCCATACATTTTTTATTCATAGAGCCCTTTACAACACTCAATGTGACCAAAGTGCTTTACAATAAAATCACTAAAATCCATTAAAACATTCATACTATCCAAAGATTAAAAAACACTCCAAGCAATTATACATTATCACCTTTATAGTGTAAACAATACATAGCAAACATTGTGTGTGTGTGTGTGTGTCCATGATGTCGGGCTGCATAAAATGAGAAACAAGTCTCAAACCCGGGTGGACTCATGACTGTCGCTACTTTTAATAAGAAGGATATTGCAGAGGGCTTTGGCTCACACTTGTGGGGTCCCATAATTTACTTCAGGGGCCTCCAAAGAGCTCCTCCTTTAGACAGTTAAGAGAAAGTCAGCATATGTGTGTGTGCTGCAATGATTTAAGTACTTGATTTAAATGCATTTATTCATTCATTCATTTTCATCGCTTTATTAGTCCATTTCTGGGTCGGTGGGTGGCAATCAGAGCTGGGGTTAAGTGTCTTGCCCAGCGTTACAACAATAAAAAAAAGTAAGTATTTTCGAATAGAACAACCAGCTTTAGTCTTATGTGAAGCATGGTAGTGCCTCTGACGTCCTTTGACTTAAGGGCAATAAAAATGATTCTGATTCTGGCTATCGCAAATGTATTATTTAGTCCATTTACAAATCTTTCAAAACTTTTACCCACATAACAATATTTTTTAAAGCATTGATGATCTAAGCTAATTAAGTAGGAATATGTGTATCTGGAGCAAAGGTAGAATTGTAATAACATAAACTTAAGACCAGCAACGCCACCTTTAGGGCTGCGACGTTTTACTGAGGAGGCAGAGACTGTGCAAATCAATATGACTGAAGAAAATCATGTCTGTTTGGGGATCGTGTCTAAAAACAACCGATTGAGTCAAGCAGGGTGTCAACATTCATTCAAACTCCTGCTACACAATAATTTGCACTGTTTTACTACTTCCCGACCCTTGAGTGTTGTACAGTGCGAGTTCTGTTTGTGTGTTCATGTCCTAGTAATCTGTGTCTATCAGTAAAAAATAAATATAAATGTCATGAAAATCCACGTTTGCCACCACTATATGAAGTCATAGTATTCAAATGATATGGGTACATTTTATTCCTACATAATCTTTGGGTCATCCTTTTCATTTCTCTAATTTAAACAGGGCCTCTATCTCTTATCACTTTTAAGGTATAAAAGAAATGAAGATGTCAAAATATAAAAACCTCTGGTGCCTAAAGGGTTAACTTTTACCACAGTTGCTTCAAAGTGTCATGAAATCTCTATATTACACTAGGTTCAGCTTTTAATTAACAGTGAGAAATGGCAATAATAAAATATACTGTGACCGCAGGGCCCTGGAATAATGGTGGGATGCAACAAGTAATTGACCAGACACAAATCATACAATTTTGAGCAATTTATTTGGCGAAATGAGACCTAAGAAATAGGAAAATATATGTTTTTATTTCATTGTATTAAATGTAATCATTAAAAATACCAATTATAAAATATGTGCTCCAATGCTAACCAGAAAGAAAGAAAGCAACACTCAGGGCTGGCCAGTAGCGGCCCTACACGATGGAGGACTAAGGGGCTGGAATAGAGCACTCACTACGCTCCGTGCCACACATTCATACATACCAAATCAAGAAAAGAGGCAAACTGAAAATGTACAAGTGGTGAAGGGAGGTGCAAAATACCACGGCATTCAAAAGGAGTGATGGTGCAGCAGTGGGTAACTCTATCACCAAATCCCCCACCATGAGAAGCCACGCCCGGACCAGACCCTGAGCAGAAAAAGACACAATGAGCACAAGTACCCAATCACAGGGTTCAATATATTAAAATGAACTAAGCACCAAACAAACACAGTAAATAAGTAAATTAAATAAAGAAACAACAAAAACAAAATTAAATGCCAATTAGACCCAAATAAAAACTGCAAGGCACTCAGCGCCTATAAGAACAAAAAAGAATTAACACATGTAATAAATATTCCTCCTCTACTTGTAAACTGGCATTACCTAGTATGACTACAAGAGAGCGGCTACGTCATAGCAGGCCGCCTCATTTACACACGCAGCAGTCTGAGCCAGCGTCTAAAACATAAAAAGGAGAACTGAGAATTCACTAAAAAATGAGGAGCACAAACACACCTACCAGGCCTTCAGCAGTGAGAGGAATACCCGCCCCAGGGACCACGATTGGCGCAAGTGGCACAGGGATGTAGCGTCAGTACGGGTGTCTGCTGTGTGTTTATATATGTGCTAATGTAATGGAATGCGGAAGTCTACGTACCGGCTTGGGGGGGAATTCCCTCTACGGCGGCTCATTAGGGACAAACAACCCGCCGGTTACATACATTCACCATTAAAGTGGTTCTCACCCCCGCTCTTCGGAGCTTACGTCACTCACATTTCCTGTTCAAATCTTCCTCTAAATGGGCGTGGCCTGGAGGACTAAAGGGGGCGTGAACGAGACTGGGCCGTTTACATTGCTCTGGGCGGGGGGCTGCTGACGTCAGGTCCAACTTCTGTGCCAGTGTTGGCGCCAGATTCAAAATTCAAATGTAGTAATACAGGTCGCCAGCAGATTATTCACTTCCTGGGATTATGACCAGGATATGTAGACAACACTATTGGACACTCATTTATACCGTTTATCAGCAAAAAAAAGTGGATTTGAGGGTGAGTTGTCCTTTAAGTACACTACATATGCAAAAAGTTCTAAACACGTGAAATTATCCTACTATACTTTACGATACTTTGAATAAAGGGCAATAGGCTGAGACCCCTGATGTACTGTACGTGTGGTGCAGGCTCCAGTCTCCGCTGTCGGTGTCCTGCCGCTCCCCGTCGCTCAGTGAGATGCCCGTGGGCTCCATGCTTGGCCGCAGACCCACCTCTCACCGAAACGTCTGCACCAAGGTCCTGCTGGCGGAGGGCAGAGAGACCCCCTTCACAGAGCACTGCCGCAGCTATGAGAGCAGCTACCGGGTCAGTTATTCATGCCGCTTTACTTCTGTTTTGTTTTTGTTTTTTAATCAAGGAAGGTCATGATGATGATGGATACATGTTTGCTTATAGTGTATTTGTCTAGTTAGTAGATTGAAATGCAGTTAGAATTGATTTTGTTTAGATTCAGATTCATTTTATTAGCCTTTTAGCAAAAATCTTGTGCAACAATCCCAGTGTGCACCAGACAGTACATAGAATACAACAAGCTAAAAGTACAGGAATAGAGCAATTAAGCTAAAAAAGTGCCGGATAAAAATGTTGCTGTGAAATTGATCAACAAAAACTGTTTCGAAATACGAGTAAGTGCAAGACCATTAAGTGCTTTGCCTGAACTGATAATAACTTGGAAAGAAGCTGTTAGCAAAAGAAGTAAGTAAGTAAGCTTTATTTATATACCGCCTTTCACAGACCAGAGTCACAAAGCGGTTTACAATTGTTATTTTTTGGGCAATTGTCCTCTCACTCCACACAGAGATGGGAGCGGGGTCGCCGAACAGGAGGCGCATGCCAGACCTATTGTACATATTTTTAGTGGTAGGGGAAACCGGAGTACCCGGAGGAAACCTACGCAGACACGGGGAGAACATGCAAACTCCACTCAGAAAGGCCCTGGTCCGGCCAGGATTCGAACCCAGGACCTTCTTGCTGAGAGGCGAGAGTGCTATCCACTCAGCCACCGTGCCGCCACCGATATCCTGCATCTTAATGAACAATATCTTCTGCCAGAGGGAAGAAGCTGGAACATAGCTTTTCCAGGGGCCAGAAGAGTCATTGATTAGAGCTGGATTTAAGAGTCTGGATTCAGAAATAACAGAACAGGCAGCTCACAGTCCTCTGTTCGAGAAGAGACCTCTCTCTAGTCTCTCTGGTCTCTCTCTCTAGTCTCTCTCTAGTCTCTCTCTAGTCTCTCTCTAGTCTATCTCTGGTCTCTCTCTGGTCTCTCTCTTTGTCTCTCTCTAGTCTCTCTGTAGTCCCTCTCTAGTCTCTCTCTAGTCCCTCTCTAGTCTCTCTCTAGTCTCTCTGTAGTCCCTCTCTAGTCTCTCTCTAGTCTCTCTCTAGTATCTCTCTAGTCTCTCTCTGGTATCTCTCTGGTCTCACAGCTCACAGTCCTCTTTCAGAGCGGAGCACCTTGTTTAGAGCTCTCCTTTCATTGTCTGTGATGTCACCAAACCACACAGCTACAAAACCAACAGTCAAACTCAAACTTTCAATGGTGCAGCGACAGAAGTCACCTGAATCGTAGAGTTTGGGGTGAATTCTCCACATTTCTGCAGAAAATAGAGACGCTGATGAATTCTCTTAACAATTGGGACATTTGACAGCCAAAAAAACTATTTACAGTAGGATGTCAAATAGTTGTTGTGTCCTTAGGCAAATACATTTCATTCATTTCAAAAAGGTCTTACCTCGTTTGTCAAATAAGTTACTGTTTTTGCAGAATTTGCAGACAGACATCCAGAGTTTGAAGGACCAGGTTCAGGAGCTGCACCGGGACCTGACCAAACACCACTCTATCATCAACACCGAGAAGATGGGAGAGATTCTGGACCGGTCTCTTCTCATCGACGACCAGATCACCTCCCACTACTCCACCGTGGAGACCATGAGGACCATGTTTGAGGAGGTGCGTCACATGGAGTCCATCTGCTTTTTCAAAATCTACATAATTCTCATTCACGCTATTTGTCTGCATAAAGAGCTCTCTCTGGTCTCTCTCTGGTCTCCCTCTGGTCTCCCTCTCTCTGGTTTCTCTTTCTATGGTCTCTCTCTGGTCTCTCTCTGGTTTCTCTCTCTCTTTATGGTTTCTCTCTGGTTTCCCTAGAGCGATCACGCAAAAAAAACAAAAAACAATATGACTTATAATTTGATACAATTTGATACAACATATTTCTAAAGAATACAACGTGTTCAGTAAAAAAGTGTGTTTCCCTTTTATCTAACACTCTCCCCATTGTAAAAAAAACAACATAATTAATACATGTATATTTCACCTATAGAAGATGAATTATTAGTCAAGTGAAAATATCACATAGAACATATAAAACATTTTAAAAAAGTAAAAAAAAAACACATAATAAGAAATCAAATTTTTAAAAATGGATATATTTCACTAAAAAACAATTACCACACTGCTTAGTAGGAGTTTTACACCTGTTCTGATAAAAATACAAATCTGTTACAATGCTTTGTAGTTCATCATAGCATTGAGAGGAACAAAGGCTGAAATGGACCCATCTTTTCTTCAAAGTTACTGAGTGTGATCTAGATACACATAGCACACACAAAAAAACACTTTTCTTTCACTTCTGAGGCTTTTCTGAATAATGTATAATGTTCTCTGCTATTCTAATTATCAACATGCATAAAGATGGCCTTCAGGTACTATTTTTACTTTTTATCATCCATATCCTGTGGTTCAGAAAATAGACTTTAAAGCAGCTCTGCAAGTCTCTCCATGGCCTCGCACCAAAGTACATCTGAGACATGTTAGTGCCATATGAACCAAGGAGCACTCTGAGGAGCACAGGGACTGCCCTCCTGCTGGAACTCTGAGGAGCACAGGGACTGCCCTCCTGCTGGTGCCCAGAGTCATAACTAAACATGGGGAGGCAGCAGTTCAGATTTTATGCAGTTAAAATGTGTATCAGTCTTCCTGAAAATGTGAGACAGGCCTCTTCTCTGACAATGTTCAAATCCAAAAACAGTTCTGTTTAGCTGTGCATACAACTGAGGGATTTTATCTTTACTCTTTTTAAAGTTCTGTGATTATTACAAATATTAAAAAAAGGATTTCTTTGTGAAAAGGTTGTTGGTTATCCCAGCTAGATTCGTCTGCATATCTGGCAACCTGAGTCAGGCAGAGTGCAGTACCACTTTTGGCCATATTTTTACATACTGCTCCTTTAGGCACTTGGAGGTGCTTTGTGTATGAACAGTGCTCTACAATTAAACTTGCCTTGCTTTTCCTTACCACCTAGATCTGGGAAGACACTTTTCAGCGTGTCACAAATGAGCAAGAAATCTATGAAGGTTAGTGCAGACAGTGAAACTACTGTACGTGTTGCTTGTGCCTTACATTTTTTACATTTTTAGCCCAATTACACGATCTGCTGCAGCTGAAGCAGGAGAATTCCTACCTGACCACGATCGCCAAACAAATCAGCCCCTACATCATGTCCATAGCCAAGGTCAAAGAGAGACTTGAGCCCAGGTACAACCCAGTGTCTGCAATTATTTATACAATACTAGTGTTGACTATCGATTTAGTTTGTTTTTGTCGAAGATTTCAAGAGCCAAGAGAGCCCCATGACGACCGCACTGAGACGATGTTGAAGATTTATGAAGACACTGGGTTGCCAAAACAAAGTACTGACGGGTAAGTCCAACGGCAGGTCAACCCTGTGAATATTAATTCACTGTTCCAGAATTCACACAAATACTTACAAATCCAAATAAGATGGCATTTGGGGTGGCATTTTCTTATCCAATTTGGCACATGAGGTGTTTTTTTGTATGGGCAGAGAGTGTAATTATTCCAGATTTGGCTGCAAAGCTCATTTTCAACTTTGAACGTCCTTGGGTAGTTAATAAAACACATCGGTTTTAATTAAGCGCTTTTTTGGACACTCAAAGATGTCATTATTCATTCACTTCATACACGGTGGTGATAAGCGACTGCAGCCACATCTGCCCTGGAGCACAACCATTCACACGCACACACACACACACACACACACGCAGACACACACACACACACACACACACACACACACACACACACACACACACACACACACACACACACACACACCAGACTCATTCAAAGCGATGTGGGTGAAGTGTCTTGCCTCAGGACACAACAGTTTGGCACTTTACAGCCGCAGTCGCCCATGCACTGTGGCACCTAGTGTTCCCAGAGGTCTCCCATCACAGCACTAACAAAGCCCTGTCCTGCTTAGCTTAAACTGGAACTCAATACTTCTCAACACTTTGCTCTACTGTATGGACCTCATTAATTTGCATGCCCAAAATATCGTGATACTGAATTAAAAAAAAAAAAAATTCCCCCATGTGTGATTTCCATGATTTGCTGTAGTTTTTATAGACCACAGACTACTTTTTTAAAGAGCTCTCTGCCATTGCTGTCTTATAAAAAGTCATTGTCCAATCAAAAAAGGTCAGAGGCCTCTGATCTAGTGGCACATTGCGGTATAAGTTGTCCCTGCTTTTCAACTGTACACTGCCAAAAGAGATACAGGCTGCCTTAAAACAAGATTTGCAAATGGGGCAACGCAAAATGATCTTGTTTTTAAAAAAAACAACCCAAAACGAGTAAACGAGAAAATAAAGCAGCAGTTCTTGAAATTAGACTAAATGGCTTTTTTCCCATTGGCAAATCTTGTTTTAAAACAGTCAGAATGTACTTAGATTGTGCGTACATCTCATTTCTGTCTCCATCCACAGTAATACTCGTCCGTGCGACCCAGACAGCACCAACCCGTCGCTGTTGCCAGATCCAGAGGAGTGTCCAGTCAAGACCAATCGACCCGTCCAGCGCAGAGGCCCCGCAGAGACGCCCAGTCACCCCCAGACTCCTTCATAAATGCCACAATTTGATTTTCTGTCCTCTCTTATCCCCCTCAATGCGGCTACGTGCCTTAATGCAAGCACAACACACACTTCAGCGCAGCACTCGGGACTTCCACAGCCTCCCTGATACCGGAGCATAAATAACTGTCAAACCGACCTCCCCCCCTTCAAGGTGAGCTCACGGACGCATAATCGGGACAGGCAGGTCACTACACAATCATTATGTGGGCAATAGAATGCATTATAATAGTGTATAGTGTACCCGCGTTCACTGGGACTTTGTTTTTTTGGCTATTTGTTTGTTTTGTTTGCTGTTATTTCCTGATTGGCTTATTCTATGTTAGGCTATTTTTGAGATTGCAAGCGGAAGAGGAATTTAAAATACTTAACCAAGGTGTGAGATGTGTGGTAAATAATCTATGTCTAACTGGGTTTCCCTCTCGCACAGACAGTGTATAGTGAAAGGAAGCTCAGACTCTGCTTAGATATAAAAAAGAAAGTTTAATGTACGTATACAAGCGGAATAATCCAAATTACAGACTAAGACTATAGCCTGGGTCCCTGACAAGATGGATTAGCAGAATGACGAATGAGGCAAACGCTGCTTTCTTATAGCAGCAGAGGAGCCTCATGGGTTGGTTAAGTCACTGGATGTCGTAAAATAGATATGTCATTCAATAATTTTGTAGACTTGTCCTGGTTAAACTCTGAGTCTTCCCCGAGGGTCTCACTACAGGCTCTTTTTGTCCTTCCAGATGTCCGCAGCCCCATTGACCCCAGAGAAGGGTCAGTAGAATCAGCTGTTTCTGCAATTGGGCCCAAATGTCCCAAACACATTTATACATATGAAGATACATGAATATATGTAGAAGTTAGAATAGCAGACACTACAATAGTTCATTAAATGGCCTTTAATGTAGTAGGCAAAATGAAGTCACAAATCATACAGGACACACTCAGAATCAAAAATCGCAGGGAGCCGATGAGCTTTAACTAATGAACTCAAGCACACACTTGTATTGAAACGATGTCACAGTGTCAATTGTGTTTGTTTTAGTCCTGTACTTTTAATCTTGTTTTATTGTATGTACTTGTCTGGTGCACAATGTGGTTCCAATTCCAATGTGGTTTTACTGAAAATGGCAAATAAAATGTATCTGAATCAACACATCCTCTCGGACCGGTTGGAGCCGCCCCGTACCGGAGGCCGCCGTAACTTCAGGGTTAAGATTAAGTGATCCTTTATTTGTCCCACAGTGGGGAAATTTCAGTGTTGCATCACCAGTTACAGAACAAAGAATAAAGAGAACACAGCACAAGACAAAATAACAATAACTCAATACTAACATAAAATAAAATCTCTAAGCATAATAAAGAAGCAAGAATCAACTTCAACCTCACTAAACTTTACAAGACCCTTTTTGTTGAAAAAACCAACTTGGATTATTTATAAAACAACATTTATGTAATAGAGCTTTAAGATTGATGAATGGTGTGATTTCAGAGCCCTATTTATTTTCAGATGGTTTTGCTGTTGAGAGGAGTAAGTAAGTGAGTAATATTTATTTATGTAATGCATTGAGAAGAGATACTGTATATGAAGTGGAACTATGTCATAGGCAAAGAAAACAGTTACAAAAGTTTTGGAGGTTTTGGAAAAGTTACAGACATTCACAGCTTTTTTGATAGAATGTGGAAGAAAAAAGATTTGTTTTTTTTAATATGCCAAAGCTACATTTTAAATCATACATATTGTAAATGATTTTTTTTAATATGTAATAATATTCAGTATCAATAAGTGAATGAAAGTAGAGCACTGAATACATTTGACATTGAAACAGTTGGGTTGTTGTGAGAAAATTGAGGAAAACATTCAACAACAAAAAATCAAATTATGAGTTTGAAGAGGCCACTAACATGTGATGCCTTTGCAGATTAAGAGATCCTTTATTTGTCCCAGAGTGGGGAAATGCCAGTGTTGCATCACTAGTTACAGAACAGTAGAAAAGAGGAGTAAGTAAGTAAGTAAGTTTTTATTTATATACCACCTTTTCACTGCAGATCTGAGTCTCAAAGCGGTTTACAATTGTTAATTTTGGGCATTTGTCTCTCACCCCACACAGAGATGGGAGCGGGGTCGCCAGTACAGGAGGCACATGCTAGACCTATTGTACATATTTTTAGTGGTAGGGGAAACCGGAGTACCCGGAGGAAACCTACGCAGACACGGGGAGAACATGCAAACTCCACTCAGAAAGGCCCTGGTCCGACCGGGATTCGAACCCAGGACCTTCTTGCTGAGAGGCGAGAGTGCTATCCACTCAGCCACCGTGCCGCCGTGCCGGAGCACACAGCACAAGATACATGAACAATACCTCTAGACTAAAATAAAAACTCTATGATTAGCATGATAAAGAAACAAGAATTACGTATAAAATCTCTGACATAAGCATATTAAAGAAGCAACTACAAAATACTAGTGCAAGAAACATAGTTGTCAGGAACTGTACGTAATTTTGAAAGAATGGACAATTTGGACAATGTTTGGGTTTTCCCCGTCACAAGTGTGAGAGAACATCTACCATTCTGCTCTGATTATAGAATTGTCCCAGTTTTTTTCTTGTTTGTCCTTGGCCCATTCTTTACCCTTACTCTGAAAAAACCCAAAGAAAACCGCCGCGCTCTAAATCTCACAGAAAAACATACGCTTCCAAACCAACCATAATAAAGCTCAAACAAAGCTATTTTCTATTCATAGATATCATTAGTCGGCAAATCTTCCAGTCTGATACAATTGCATTTACATTTCATTGATTCAACGCTGCTCCAGTCTGTGCAGAATTATTCATTTTCCTTTCAAGTTGTTAAATGGATTTCATTATTCTTTGAAATTTATATAAAGCCGTTTTTGCAGTAAGAGCATTAAACTTTTATATTATGATATTTTAATTTATCTCAGTTGATTGAATTAGCTTCATACATGCATACATTTGTACTAAACCGCACAAAAGTGCTGAAAAATAAGTCAAAGATTGCACAAATTTGGCAAAATGTATCTTAATTTAAGCACATTTGCACAAAATTGGCCAATGGGACGAAGCAGAATGATCTTGTTTGAGATGGATGCAAGAAATGTCTCCCTTGGAATGAGAAAATAATAAACAGTTCTTTAAATAGGACTAAATGGCTTTGTCCCATTTGGAATCATGTTTTCTGAATTAACTCAAAAAACTTAAACCAATTGATTCAAGCATTTATTACCTCATATTTCACCATATATTGCAGTGTATACAGCTTCAGAATAATTTAGCCCGGTTTAGGTTTTCCAAACAATTTTTCTTCTGCAGTGGAGAGAATTTTACTCAATCACTCTGAACAAAACTCATGAGAAATTCTGCTTTCTCAACAGTTTTGAATCTAGTTACCGCTCCCACTGTTGCGACTACATCCTGGCTTAAGTCACATCTGCTCTATAAATACATATTGATGGATGCTGCGTGTTCCTGAAAAACGTTGACACAAAACACATTATGCAACACTGCTTTTGGGTCGAAATATAAATATGCAAATCCTTGTCAAAGCGCTGCTATATAAAGTTCCTTATGGTTTTTAAACAGCCTTTGGAGTCGTGTGTTGGGTGCCCCAGTGGTGGTTTGAAGACGGAAGGAAAGTAATGAATGGATAACTGGAGCAGGTAGCGGTAGTTGCAGTAGTGGGATGATGAATGAGCTGAAGGAAGCTGAAGCAGACCACAGTCATTTGTTACGGTACTGTCACAAATGTATTTTTAATGAATGTGCAAACCCCAGACTCCTACACAGACCAGCGGAGTTCTTTATGGGTCTTTAGGGCCGCCGCGACCCCCATCATATTCTCTCTAGAAACACCAGCAGAGCATGAGAACCAAGCTGCCCAGTGGTGTTTATTATTCATGTATTTATTAGTTTGATATGGACACAGCCGTTACAGTGGACAGGCCACATGCACTGCCTTTGGTGTATTCAATTCTATTCAATCTTGTTTAGACCTGAATCTCGAACTCAGGCATCCAGATGAAACCAAAGATTAATCACAAAATTGTTAGCCTTATCAAATCTCACTAATTATAAAATGTAGAGCTACTTTTTTGGGACTAAAGTGGCAGTGAGCTCTAATGTGTGTGATTTGTGCTGCAATGAATTAAGGAGTTTGTATATTGATTTGAAGACGTTCTTCAAAGAATTAAATGATTTACAAATGGAACAATCAGCTTTAGTCTTGTGGGAATTTGATCCATTGGCAAACATTCTTTAAAATGCTGTCTTACACCCACAAAACATACTATAACATCATAATGTATCGGTGCTCCAAGCTACAGCATGTGCACATTCCTTTGGCGAGCTAATGGTTGCTTCTGAGCCATAGGTTGGAGACCCCTGATGTATGTTATGCTGCCTTTTTTCTATCCATCCATTCATCTTCTTCCCCATTTGTTCATTGCTGGGTCGGGGTGGTGGCAATCAGCTGCACCCCAATTCAGAGAGCATCACCCCCTCACTGATCCTCCTGCAGGTGGTGAGTCAGTGACAGCATAGGCTTTATCTTTCAGCAGGGGCTTCAGGCAAAGTAGGGTTACGTGTCTTGCCCAAGGACACAGCGTCAGCAGACATCATTGGGAGTCGATGGAGAAGATCTTGTGGTGGACTCGAACCCACGACCTACACGCTCAAAGGCCAATGCTCTACCAACTGAGCCAGGGTCCACGACAGGGCCTTCCTTTCCAATCATTTGAAATTGATAACTGACCTGAACAGTTAACAATTTTAAACCAAACAAAAACAATTGTTCTACACTGACATTGCAAATAGAATAACACATTTGACTCATGTGTGAGAAAAGGACATTACAGACAATTGAGAGTTGAAAAGACATTGTAAAAATCCCCCATTCATTGATTGGTGGGAGATTGATTTTCTGTGGATTAGTCTTTTTGTGGTTTTCGTGGCATCAGGAGTGAAAAGGTCACAGCTGAGTCCCCCTGCTGACCACTGCAGGCACAAACATGTAATCTTTCATCATTTTACTTTCATCATGATAATTGTACACATATTTTTGTGTGTTTGTCTTTGGAATTTCAAAATATACCTTGATCTCTGAGGTCTTGCCCCAGGCCCTTTTCCCACTCTGTGTTTATGTGTTTTCCCATGCACCCATCTAAATCAAAGGAGGTCAAAGTGGATCAATACCCTTCATCATGAGTGGTACTGTGCAGGACAATTAACCCTGGAGTCAGGTCCAGAGCATCTCTGTCATCCTGAAGGCCAGGTTTTCATTCCATTGTCTTTGAGGAGATAGATCAGAGGTACACTAGATTAGAAGATATAGACAAAAACATCCAAGACTTCTGTTGAGTTTGGTAGATCTTTCTCGAACACATCTCTGCAAATCCCAGTTATCTTTCCCTTATTGAAATGTATGCAAATTCTGTTCTTTTTAGTTAAGGCATGTCCAAACTCAGGTCCTGGGGCCAATTGCAACCTTCAGTGGCATTTTATTTGGCCCTCTGCCATGCCAACCCTTTGAGGTTTTAAGTAGTGTTTGAGATCATAAACACAAGTTCATTGTGTCATCCATCCAACTTCAGCTCAGCCAATATAGAGGTAACTCGGTGAGATAGTAAACATTTGTCATTCAGCCAACTACACAGTCATCACCGGGTGTGGAGTGATTGCAACAATATCTCAGCTCTGAACTTTGTATAGCGTTTTGGGTGACCTTGGTCTAAAAAATGAGCTATATAATAATAAATAGGTTTTATATAGCGCTTTTTTGGACACTCAAAGACGCTTCACATGTTATTCTTTCACTCGATACACGGTGGTGATAAACTACTACTGTAGCCACAGTTGCCCTGGGGCACACTGACAGAAGCGAGGCAAGTATGTGCCATCGGCCCCTCTGACCACCACCAACCATTCACACACACACACCAGACTCATTCTAGGCAATGTGGGTGAAGTGTCTTGCCTAAGGACACAACGGCAATTTGGCACTTTACAGCCGCCCCACTGTGGCTGGTGTTCCCAGAACGACAGCAGATTGTAAGCAAATGTTAAGGCACCTTGGCTTTAGTTGATTACGGCTTTATTTCAGTCCAGATGCAAAACTTTTATTCAAGTCACTACTCAGGGGTGTGCTGTGAGAAAATGTCATTTAGTATTGATTGCAAAACTAAATTGCCAGAAAATTAAAGCTAAAACTCAGAGCTAAAGGTGCCTTGATTTGCCGAAATTGCATTATTAGCACAAACACAGCGATTACACATCTTCCCATGGCATCTATTTTAAATTGATAACTTGATTTGCAAAAAGAATCCACTTCTCGACTCAGTAACTAAGACCTTTATAATTACGTTCAGAAGTCGGCTGTAGCCACGCAGCCTCAAACCCATTGATTCAAAACATCCCCAGAGATTGTCACTAACGTAATAACAGCTTTGACAAATTGAGTTCCCTTTTATTGCGGGCACCAACACAGGCCCACGTGTCCTTGGCCCAGAGGGATCAGGGCGCATGGAGGTATGAGGGGGCTACATATTTATCAGCCACTTAGTTATTGATGCTGGGTCGGCTGTTCGGAGGTCTCCCACTCCCACACCCAGCGCTGGTCTGTGCACCCGGAGCGCTTTGGGACGGTTACGCACGGGGACTTTGTGATTAATAATAATAATAATAATAGTAGAAGAAGAAGAAGACGATTTTATTTTCTCTCAAAGACGCTTCACATGTCATTGTTCATTCACTCTATGCACAGGGGTGATAAACTACTACTAAAGCCACAGCTGCCCTGGGGCACACTAACGGAAGCGAGGCAACCAGTATGTGCCAATGGCCCCTTTGCCCAACCTTTCACACATACACACCAGACTCATTCTAATGTGGGCGAAAAATCTTGCCTAAGGACAAATAATCAGACGCAGCATTGTGGTACCTGGTGTTCCCAGAGGTCTCCCATCACAGCACTAATCAAGCCCTGCCATGCTTAGCTTAGGTATGTGCACACTCGGGAGAACGCTATATAGACTCGGGAGAACGCTATATAGGCCTATTCTTGGGCCTAATTTAGCATACTTATTGATCGAGTGCGTAAAGAGCAGCAGTTTAATGGTCCATGTAATTAGCCATTTTCTTTACCCTGGGATTCTTCTGCGCTGGCTGCCAATTCACCTGCTGTAAACGGGTAAAGTCCAACCAAAAATGTATAAATAACGTCTGTTGAGAACCTCCATAGAACGTTTGACTTCTGTCTATCCCAAAAAAGGTTACATTTAAAAGTATGAATTGAACTTTTGGTGTTGATGGTCATTGTTTGTTTCCCACATTCTGCATGGTTTATAACGACTATAGTCATTGATGTGAATAAAAGATGCATTTCTCGACTGTCCTGGTGGATTTCTGCTTTTGATCATTTTTCTAACTGTTGTTTTGCCTCCATATGTAAACAGTCTTTCAATAACACTTTACTTTTACAATGGGAGCAACCCTGCACTCGGTTTTAGTTACTGAATCTATGGAGAGATAAGTCTTCCCATCGAAAAAGCCTGTTTTAATCACTGAAATTGGGAGCATTAATTAAAATTGAGCCAAATTTTTGCTTAAGCTTTGCTTAAAAATTTTTTTAAGCAAAGCAATAACATTCTGAACTGTGGCTTCACCGGTACAGTAGTGTGCTGTGAATATTTGTATGCACATTTTACTATTGCTTTGATGTCTCTTATCTAAACCTTGTGTCCGTAATGTTTTATTACTGCCTATCACAAGACGTAGGTGTCAGACCACTTCACAAAAGCAGTCAAGGAATGCATTATTGAAGAAAGAATAGCCTTCTATACAGCAGCAATGTGTAGTAAATGTAGTAAATGTAGAAAAAACAGCTTCTGCCATTTATTCTTCTTCCTTACAGAACAAGTCAAGGCTCAGTATAAACCATAGTATGTGTAACTCACTCAATCAAGGACAAAAATAACAAAGGAACAATAGCTGTAGCAATAACTTAAACCCGTTAAGTCTCACCGTCGTCATTCATTCTCTCCGGTCTTATTCGGCATGTGAAATATCCTCCAAGTTTGAATGCAGAACAAAAAACCCCACAATAAACAGGCTATTCTTAAACAGATGGTATAATAGTATTCTTTACCCTGTTTGCAAAACGTACAAGAGGCATGTCTGATAGAATTACCCACAAATTAGTAATACTGGTCAGTAGAAGAAATGACAGGAATATAAATACAGACATTGTAGAAATGTGATTTTACAATGAAACTCAGGACATAATAAATGACTAAATCGCCAGTGAGTAAAATGCTAAACAAAAATTACATTGAATAAGCAATTTGAAATGATTGGCCAGTGTAGTCACTTCAGTAGTTCTTTGCAAAAAAAATGATAAAATATGAGGTGATAATTGCTTGAATCAAGTGTTTTTCATCTTATTTTGAGTACATTATGACGGTTTTAAAACAAGATATGCCAATGGGAGAAGGTCATTTCGTCTATTTCAAGAACTGATGCTTTATTTTCTCCTTCAAAAGGGAGACATTTCTTGTATCTTTTAAAAACAAGATAATTTGGCTTGACTCATTGGCCGTCAAAATGTGCTTGAATGAAGATAAATTTGGCCGAATTTGAGCAATTTTTTACTTATTTTGAATCATTTTTTGCAGTGTGCTTGAGTATTCAAACCTTTTTAGTACCATCGACTACAGAATGTAACAAATGAAAGTAACAATATCTAGGCAGCAAGAGAAAAAGTGAATTGTGTCTAGTAAGCCCGCGCTGGTTTGTCCTGAGCCTGGTTGAAGGGGTTGGCTGGTCTCGCCGATTCCTGGTCCTGCTGGTCTATGGACTGGTAATCATCTCGAGTTCTGGAGACTGTGGGGAACCCTGCAAAAGAACAAGTTACAGGTCTGTGTTGACATCATGCGTCGGCTTCTTCCTCTCCAAGATATTTTATTAAAAATGCTGTCCGTAAACAAGAGTTCCCAAACTATATACTGTATATATATTTGTGCTTGAAAGTTGACACCAGTCAGAGATGTGATTGTTGTTGTATGAATGATAACTAGACCCTCTTTTCACTCATTGTTAGTGATTATGTGAACCCAATTATTGTCAAATAAACGTGCTTAAATAGGAGTTCTGCTGGAACCCACTCTTGGATGAGCTGTCTACAGAGGTCTCAAAGTCATAGGAGGGTACTTTTGGACAATATATTCTGAGTGAGACCCTCCCAGGGGCTATGAACTGAAAGTAGATTTGGAATGTGCATGTCGGTATTTCTTTTTTTTCCTTTTTATTTTCTTCCTTTCGTCTGTGTGAATGTATACAGGGAGTAAGTTTAAAAAGGAAAGGGAAATATATTGTAAAAAAAAACTAAAAACAAACTTGCTTTCCATTTTTTTATTAGATTATTGAGCCACTCTGGGTAGACTTAAAAATCACAGGAATTTACAGAGCTATAGTGGTGGGTGAATTGTGATATTTTGTGTGTATTTTAAGTGATAGAAAACGATTTGATTTGACATTACTAGCTTCACACAATGAGTGAAGCTAGTTAAGCTCCAAAATACGGCAAGGAAAACAAATACATAACGAAGCATAGGGATAACCCGATTTTATTTTTGCCAGGCCCTATCAGATTAAAGTCAGAATAATTTCAGCTCAAAGTCAAAGGAATATGACAATGACAATAATCTCGAAAGTCAGAGAACGTTTTAGTAACACCACTTTAATCTCATAATATTTTGACTTTAAAGTTAAAATATTCAGACTTTAATCTCATAAAAAAAAACCTGTGTGAGCCCTATGCTCTGTTGTATGCCTTCTTTCAAGCATAACTGTAAATAAACACATGTTTATTTTAAATCTAATTAAAGTTTTCAAGACTTCTTCTCACGTTCATGTATATTAGAAGCCACCCTCGTACAGGACCAACCTGTAGCGTTGTTCGAATACTGATCACAGACTTTCAGAAGTTCAAAGACTTCTCCCTCTATAACCTCAACATGAGCCATTGTGACAGACATGGCTGGTTTATTACTACCACTCAAGACATTTTAAATATATATATTCTCTGGGCCAGAAGGCTTTATTGTACAGGACAGCTCTGGAGTCAAAACAGGACAGAGAGCAGAGACCTTCGGCAAATGGTTAGTGCTATTAAAACCGTGACGCCAACCACCACAGCATCAATGGAAGATAATTTGATTGTACAGGCATTTTTAAATTGAGATAAATCCATTCAGAAGAAGAAATGTGGGAAGTATGACTAAAATGATCACAAACAGAGATCCTGACATACCAAGAGAAGTGGTGCGAGTGATCATTTGTGTTGCCTGTAAATGGACATGGAGGCAACAGAAGTGACATTACTAATTTTACATACTTGAAGATTGAACGATTGTGAATTGTGTAGGATTGTGTCTGTAGTTAAAACTGGTCTACTGTTGTTTCACAAATAAAAAAATGAAAGTTTCTCTCAACAGAAATAGTTTTTGTTTTATTTCTAATATTTTTAGTGTATTTTGTGTATGTATGTTTTTGTAAATATTCTCTTCTTCTCTTGAACGGTTTGATTCTCTGATCTGTGTCCTCTGAGATAACTACTGTTGTGATTTACGGCTTTACAAAAATAAAATGTTGTTGAAAATTGAATAATGTAAAACAGCTTGGCTCGCAGACAGATACCCAGGCTTAAATCTTGGAACAAAAATGTGATCGTTGATAAAGTGTGTACGTATAAAACTAAATCAAATATGAATGTGCAATACTGCAGAATGTCCACTGAATGTCACTTTATCTACTTATTATCCTGCTCTATATCTATATAACTTCGCACTAATTATATAGATGAATAATAAAAATAGCTAGCTAATAAAAATAGTAGCTACTTATTGGATATTTTGTGTGCTCTTGCTACTGTCCTGTTTGTGCGCTTTAACATTGATATAGTTCCCCACTGTGGGAGGAATAAAGGACCTCTTATCTTATCCTAAATAGTGATTACAGTGATGGATGGTGCAGTGAATTGGAACAGTGCATTGAATAGTGAAAGCCCAGTAAAAAGTTTCTCAAAAGTTGCTCGTCAGATGATGCACGTCGGTCTTGTAAACGCTCAGAGATGCATGGAGTCAACAGTGTGCAGACTTTAATTAGGGCTGATGAAGAGCGCCATCACACAGTGAAGCTCAAAATAAAACAGAACACACACCAAAACACAAATTAGGCACCGGGAGAGTATGGAGTATGAATAAAAGATGCATGCAGACATATTTACATACACGGTACATCAAACAAAACTTAGGGGAGAACAGTACAAGCACATTCAACATAGACACAAAGGGTCATCGTGAGATATGACAGGACAACAAAGATAAAACTAAAATACAAGATAGTGGTAAAACGGTAAAAGGAAGTCTCTTGAGTCCAGGAGCCAATTAGAGGCCAAGGAGCTGGAGGAAGATTGTTCGGAGGATGCGAAATGGTACAAAAGGGAGGAGAGAGGGGAGAAAGCCGAGGCAATCAATAGCGACGGCCAATAAAGGCACTGTCAGCACTGTCCGTGGTGCATCGGCTGTCTATAGAAGTCTCAAAGTCTGTAACCGTCAACGTCAGGCAGTAGGAAGGGAAACAAAAACAGGTATTAATGACGTGAAACATACGAGAGACAACGTGGAAACAAAAAGTGTGTACAGGAAACAATATGAAGTGTGTAAGGTTCAAGAAACAGTACGAAAGAAACAAACTTTTCCTTATATGGGTAGAATCCTTCTGATTTTATCAATAGTATCATTTGTATTTGGTACAGTTTAGTTACACGTTTGTAAATAGAAAACAAACAAAACAAATCAAGAAAGCTTTAAAAATGTATTATAATATTACAAAGTGCCATCTCATGTTTGTTTTATACAGTATATGTAAACTGTTGTATGTATCCTGGCTCGCAATGTGAATCAAAAAATGTTGAAAAAAAAATGAACAAAAGTTAATTAATTTCTGCTCTTGAACTTAAAATGTGGAACCAATACAGGACAATAAAGTATAGTATATATAAATATGTGATAAAGACTCATTACATCAAAGTCTTGGTCTGTCGTAATTTTCAGAATATTAACGTTTTCTGAGATTTAATTAGTTTCATTTATCTTCTTATTTTTGATTGCCGTTTTATTAGGTATTGGGGTTGACATTCAGCTATGTTTTCTTTCTATATTCTCCTTCACAGATTTGTATATCTGTATGTCGATGACTTTTAAATGTTTATGTTAATGTTCAATAAATAAAGTTGGGAAAAAAAATAAACATATCGTGCCATGCGTTCAGCTAGGCTCTGACGAACACACAGGCTTTATCTTGGACCTACCTTTTAAATCCTAACCCTAACCCTTGTTTGATCTACAAGTTGTAGGTCAACATGATAACAAAAACATAGTAAAAGGGACTTGAGTATATACGTATGTCATTGTATACCACATCATATACCCACATATACGAGTACAATTTTACCAAGAGTGCTATGAAAACAGCCCAATAATCTTAAACGCTTGAGATGTCCGGCTGGATGTTCGGCTTTACAGAGAGACTAACATCGTGACTCCTGATAACGATCGTGCTACAATCAAACAGCAATTAAAATTCCCTCCTCGCTCGGCCTCTGCTTCAGCCTCTGCTTCAGCCTCTGCTTCAGCCACTGCTTCAGCCACTGCTTCAGCCTCTGCTTCAGCCTCTGCTTCAGCCTCTGCTTCAGCCTCTGCTTCAGCCTCTGCTTCAGCCTCTGCTTCAGCCACTGCTTCAGCCTCTGCTTCAGCCTCTGCTTCAGCCACTGCTTCAGCCACTGCTTCAGCCTCTGCTTCAGCCTCTGCTTCAGCCTCTGCTTCAGCCTCTGCTTCAGCCTCTGCTTCAGCCTCTGCTTCAGCCTCTGCTTCAGCCTCTGCTTCAGCCTCTGCTTCAGCCTCTGCTTCAGCCACTGCTTCAGCCACTGCTTCAGCCACTGCTTCAGCCACTGCTTCAGCCTCTGCTTCAGCCTCTGCTTCAGCCTCTGCTTCAGCCTCTGCTTCAGCCTCTGCTTCAGCCTCTGCTTCAGCCTCTGCTTCAGCCACTGCACGGTCAATCATAACCGGGTCATCAATATTCAATGTTTCTCCAAGAGCCCCATCAGGAGACTCTTTTTTGGTCATTGCAGTCTTATTGCCGCACTACCATCCAATCGCATTATGTAGAAAGAGAATATTTTTGGTCATCCTGAAATAGACTCATAATCCAAGGAGTAGGGAATAAGTTTTGGAGCGGATTAAGCCGGCAGTCGACGTCTTAGTTCAGTGGAGCAGCTCAAGGCTTCATTTTGAGTGCTTTCTCAAAAGGAGCAACAATACTTTACTTATATGTGCAATAGTACTTTTAATATTGTCAGAATGTGCAATATAGAACCACATGTGTCCACTGTCACTTTACGGAGTCACTTTGTCCCAGAGCCTCATGGTACTAACATGTACACATGTATATATATTTCTTGCACTAGAATTTAACATTGCACTGGCAAAAGATAGACATTTTACACCGGCTTCTTATTAAGCTAAAGTCAGAGAGGTTGTACTTAATTATTAGTTTTTCATTATGCTAAAGTTAGAGATTATATAATTGCCTCCTTATTACTCTAAAGCTAAAGATTTTATACTTGTTTTTTATTATGCTAAAGCTAGAGATTTCTTACTTGCTTCTGTATTATGCTAAAGCTAGAGATGTTATACTAGCGTCTTTATTATGCTAAAGATAGTGGTTTTATTTTATTTATCTTGTGTTGTGTGCTCCTCATTCCTACTCTTCTGGAAATGTCCCCACTGTGGGTCGAAGAAAGGATCTATTAATCGTAATCTTTTGTCTCCATGGCAACATTGAGTCTTTCTGATGAATAATATGTTTGTTGTAAACTGTGTCTGGGGTGCGGTCCATAAACAGCTAAACCAACACCAAACTTCTGCCTAAAAAGACGTGCTTCATTTCAAAGTCTTGTGACCGGAGCAAATGAGTTTGCGTGAGGAATGGTCTGCATGTGGTTCAGTGATTGGCGAACACTCCTTTCAGTTTTACATTTCACAGAATTGGATTTAATCAAGTTTTACTCTGCTTTCATCCAAAAGCTGGAGTTAGAGATTTCCTTGTAATACACATGGAGCAGAGTTAAAAAATAGCCGCAACTTTTCTTTGCAGTAATTTTCTTCCACTAGTTTTAGATGTGGAATAGAATTTGAATTATGAGATCCAGCTTTGCAGTTGCCAAAGTGGGTTTAAATGAGGCCATTTTTGAAAGATTTGATCTTCAGTGTTTTATATTTGCTTCTTATCATTCTAAAGTCAGAGATTTTATACTTCATTCTTGCTTCTTTACTCTGCTTAAGTTAGAGATTTTATATGATCTTAGTATAGAGTTATTGTTCCCTTATCTTATTTTTGTGAATAATATAAGGGACAAGAATTGCAAAATATAACAGAATAAAATCACAACACTCACTCTATGTTAAAAATCACAATAAGATACATTATTCTATACTTGCTTATTAATATGGTAAAGGCAGAGATTATATACTTCTTTAGTATGCTAAATTCATAATTTGTACTTGTTTTTTTCTTCTTCTTTATGCCAAAGGTAGAGATTTTATACTTGCTTCTTTTTGACGCTAAAGTTAAAGATTTGAGTTTATTCAATAGAGAGTTATTGATCATTTATCTTGTGCTGTGTGTGTGAGATAAATATAGGATAATTTAATCTGTATTTTGAATTGCGGCTCAAATATCGTAATCAAATCGTCACATTTTGGCAATTCCCCCCCGTAAAAAATATGTCGACTTACACTTACCAAAGTTGACGTTGTAGTCCCCTCCTCGTTCTTTATACATCTGATAGACAAAGAAGCAGGAGGCTGGTTTGAGCAGCAGGTTGAGGATGGCCATCCCAGCACTGAAGCGCAGAACGTCCAGGATCACCAGGTCTCGGGTCGGGTAGTATATGCCAATGTGGACGATGTCTGTCAATATGGTCCCAACTGTCCCCATCAGAAACTGTGGGAAGATACATGAGAGAGTGAGTGAGAGAGAGACGAGGTGAGAGAGAGAAAGAGAGATAGAGAGGAGAGTGAATGAGAGATTGAAAGAGAGAGAGACAGAAAGAGAGAGGGACAGAGAGAGAGAGGATAGCGAGAGAGAAAGAGAGACAGAAAGAGAGAGAAGGATAGCGAGAGAGAAAGAGAGAGAGAGACAGAGAAAGAGAGAGAGAGAAAGAGAGAGGGAGAGAGAAAGAGAGTGCTGATTAAAACGTAGGAAAACGATGACAGCAGTCATATATAAGTATTCTGTCATTACAAAGTCGCATGTTCAAAACTAGGTTGCATATGGTTAATTACATATAATAATGTATAAGCTACCAACTGCTAACTACTAACAAGTAAACATTACGTTGCTATGGTAACTAGCACTGGCCCTTTGGTGGGAGGTAAAGTTTAGTTTTCAATGTTTTCACCTGTACACTAAGACAATACAGAATATATCAATGGTAGACTAACTTTCAATACATAAATGCGTCCCAGTAAAGTACATCAGTTCATCTATCTCATGTCACTTGTGTCAAATGTGTAAAAACAGCAGAAATGGTCTCAATTGAAAGTAAAACCCTGATGAAGTTAAAGGTCACCGCTTTCAGATCACTGTAGAAAACCATTCTCCGTATCATTTGCGTCTCCTGCTTTTGATGCCATGCACACAAAACAAAGCCCTCTCTTCATACTGAATTACATTACATTCATTATGGTGTGACCAAGGTGCCCCTCAAAGAACAATTTAAACACAGAAAAAAGAAAAGGTGCAGTATAGCAATCTCTTTATCTGTCAGAACCACACTTTATTATGCTAAAGTTTTATTTTATACTTACTAAGATTTTATACTTATTTCTTTCTTCTTTATTGTGCTAAAGTCAGAGATTGTGTTTAATTTTAGTAGTTTACTAGAGTCATTATTCACTTATTTGTTCAAAGCCATTTTAAATGCATCATTTCTTTAAGACCTGGCTAAATGAGCAGATCCCGGACTGCGCTCTGGAACTGCAGGGTTTTGGGCTGTTCCGCGCGGATCGCCATTGTGCGCTCTTAGGGAAGAGCAGAGGCGGTGGGCTGTGTTTCTACGTCAATACAAACTGGTGTAACGATGTGACAGTGATCTCCAAGCACTGCTCTCCTGCTCTGGAATATCTTTTCATTCATTGTAAACCATTTTACTCCCCTCGTGAAATTGTTTCATTCATTCTTGCCTCTGTTTACATACCGCCATGCGCGGACGTGCACGAGGCTCAGCGCGCACTCGCAGAGCAAGTACTGTGTATGGAACGTTTATACCCGGACTCTCTGATTATTATCCTGGGGGATTTTAATAAGGGAAACTTGAGCCAGGAATTACCCAAATACAGACAGTTTATCAAATGCCCGACCAGAGAGGAGAACACTCTGGATCACTGCTACACCACCGTGCGCGGAGCTTTTCGCGCTGTTCCCAAGCCAGCCCTCGGCTTCTCAGATCACTCCATGATACATCTGGTTCCTGCTTACAGACAGAGACTAAAGCTCTCGAAACCTGCAGTGAGGAGCTCCAAAGTGTGGTCTGATGAAGCTGTGGAAGAGCTGCGCGCATGCATGGAATCTACAGACTGGGACCTTTTCAGAGCTGCCACAGATAGTTTGGATGACTACACGGACACTGTGACGTCATACATTCACTTCTGTGAGGATAGCATCATTCCAACAAGGACCAGGGTCATCTATAACAACGACAAACCCTGGTTCACTGCTAAACTCCGGCAGCTCAGGAAAGCAAAGGAGTCTGCTTTCTGGGAGGGGGACCGCAGCGGCTACAAAGCAGCTAAATATCAGTTCAGGAGAGAACTGAAAGCAGCCAAGTCCCGGCACAGAGAACGACTACAGGAGCAGTTTGGTAACAACGATACTGCTTCTGTCTGGAGGACCCTACGGGAGATCACCAACTACAAACCCAAAGCCCCCCCCTGTGCTGACGACCACAAGCTAGCTGACGAACTGAACTTATTTTTCAGTCGCTTTGATGCTGCCCCTGACACCTCTCCCTCCCCCACCCCCCACTACTCTAACGACCCACCCATCAGCCCTGCCCCCAGCCTAACAATAGCCGCTAAAGAGATTAAACAACTCTTCCTGAGGCTGCACCCCCGCAAAGCTCCTGGCCCGGACCACGTGTCTCCGGCCACTCTGAGACACTGCGCCAGTGAGCTTACTCCTGTGTTCACTGACATTTTCAACACCTCTCTGCAGTCCTGCCATGTCCCGGCCTGCTTCAAATCCTCCATCATTGTCCCCGTCCCGAAGAAGCCCAGGATCACAGGACTCAATGACTACAGACCTGTAGCACTTACGTCTGTCGTCATGAAGTCATTTGAACGCCTGGTTCTTTCCCATCTCAAGTCCTTCACCTCCCCCCTCCTGGACCCCCTGCAGTTCGCCTACAGAGCCAACCGATCTGTAGACGACGCCATTAACCTGGCCCTCCACCACATCCTACAGCACCTGGACTCCCCGGGGACCTACGCCAGGGTCCTGTTCGTGGACTTCAGCTCTGCCTTTAACATCATCCTGCCATCCCTGATCCAGGACAAGCTCTCCCAGCTCAACGTGCCCGATTCCACCTGCAGGTGGATCACTGACTTCCTGACGGACAGGAAACAGCGAGTGCGTCTGGGGAAGAATGTCTCGGACTCTCGGATTATAAATACAGGAGCCCCACAGGGCTGTGTTCTTTCTCCCCTGCTCTTCTCCCTGTACACCAACCACTGCACCTCCAGCCACGACTCCGTGAAGCTGATCAAGTTTGCGGACGACACCACCCTCATTGGACTCATCTCCAACAACGATGAGTCCGCCTACAGGAGGGAGGTGGACCGGCTGGTGTCCTGGTGCAGTGGTAACAACCTGGAGCTGAACGCCCAGAAGACAGTGGAGATGATTGTGGACTTCAGGAAGAGCACTGTCCCCCCGCCCCCACCCTCCGTGATGGACTCCCCCATCACCTCTGTGGAGTCCTTCCGTTTCCTGGGCACCACCATCACCCAGGACCTCAAGTGGGAGCCGACCATCAGCTCCCTCATCAAGAAGGCCCAGCAGAGGATGTATTTCCTGCGGCAGCTCAGGAAAGCCAAGCTGCCTGCACAGATGTTGGTGCAGTTCTACACGGCCATCATCGAGTCCATCCTCACCTCCTCCATCACCGTGTGGTTCGCTGGAGCCACAGTCAGGGACAAACAGAGACTACAGCGCATTGTGCGCTCTGCAGAGGAAGTGATCGGCCGCAGCCTTCCATCGCTGCAGGACCTATACGTCGCCCGAGCTCGAGGCCGGGCTGGTCGTATCACAGGCGACCCCTCTCACCTGCACATGGACTATTCCAACCACTCCCCTCAGGCAGGAGGCTGCGGTCCATCAGGACTAGAACCTCCCGCCACAAGAACAGTTTCTTCCCCTCTGCTGTTGAACTCTTGAACACTTCTTAACCTGTCCCCCCGCCCTTTATAAAGTCACTTTACTGCCCATCATACGTCACTTTACTTCACTGTACTGCTGTCACCTTACATTGTGTGCACCATATGCACTTGTATATTGTAAATAGTAACTGTAACTCTATTTTAAATTTAAATTTATTCTTTAGAAGTGTTTTTTATTCTTATTTTTATCATCTCTTTTTGACTGTTGCACTGAGCCAAAGCAATTTCCAAGTCTGTGACCTCCTGTTACTTACGTGGCAATAAAAATGATTCTGATTCTGATTCTGATTTAAGCAAGCAAATAAACAAAATAAAATTGAATGAAAGAAAAAATACGGAAGAAAGTCTAAAATCTCCAACTTTATCATAATGAAGAAGGAAGAATTAAGTATAAAAATCTTGCTTCTTCGTTATGTTAAAGTTGGACTTGCTTTTTTATTGTGCTAAAGCTAGAGATGTTATTTTATTTTAGTATAGAGTTATGGTGTGCTTCTCATTCCTACTGTTCTGTAACTGCTGATGCAACACTGAATTATCCCCACTGTGGGCAGAATAAAGGATCTCATAATCAATCGTAATCTGGGTTTTTCAGTGGCACGAAAGATGTCTCCAACACAATAATCTTAAAACTAAAACACAGCATGTAGAAATGATGAAATCTTGGCAACTTCCTGCTGTGTTTGTGTGTCATTCTGAAAGCAATGTTCACAGTTTGTCCCAGATTTCACGCTCAAATGGGGATCGCACGTCTGTCACATGAGGAGCAGTGTCCCGAGCATCAAGGTAAAGATCTCACCATAACCACCGCATCAATGGAGTCTCTGTGAGCGATGGCCCACACTCCCAGGGCCAGGACCGAGAAGTTTCCCCACGCGTACGACCGTGGGAGGAACGCCATCGAGCCCCTGTACGGAAAGAAAACATACTTACATTACGCAACAAGCTGTGGCCGTATACATGCATGTCATTGTGTCCTTAGGCAAGACACTTCACCCACATTAGAATGAGTCTGATGTGCGTGAAGGCTTGGTGGGGGTGGTGGTGGGTAGGGCCGACGGCACATACTGGTTGCTTCACTTGTGTTTTGTTGTGTTTCAACAACCAATTTTTGTACTAAAAGTGAGTCAAGTTAAAACCTTATAAATTACTTTATTTTAGCATAAATGTTCTTTGTGGGGATTTCAAAATGGTTGAATTAAACTTTAACGAGAGTCTGGGCAAACATCCGTCAGACTTATTACATCACCACAAAGGAGCTATCAGCTGAGTGATTTCAATTGGGTTTTTAATGGTGATTTTAGTGCTACTTTTATGTGATGATTTGGGTCTTGTGTGATGTGGACTCTGAAGCACTTTGTCTTGCCCTGTGTGGGAAAGGCGCTCTACAAATAAACATGAATTGATTGATTAATTAAGAACAGATATCCTCAAAATTACATCAGATCCAACAAAATGTCAGAAATATTGCTGCATCTCTAATGATTATTTAGGTGTTGTAGAATCTGAACTGCATGCTTTAGGACAAACAGGAAACATATTGAAGAATTAATGTTCAATGAATTTAAGGCCAATTTAAAGCACAATGTTAAAAAAAAAACATGTCTTTTTTCTGTTCTGTCTGGAAAAACTTGGAAATAAACTAAATAGATAAACTGGAAGTGCAAGTACGTGAGATCGCTGCTGCCTCTGTCGTTTTTTTAACAGTCTCTACAGCTACAGCAACAGAAATGACCAAGCCCTACTACTTTTTGCAGTCCTAAAACTGCAAATATGTAATCTATTAAATAACTATGAAAAATCATGGACAAAACTCATAGTAGGGTTACTGCATAACCCTAAGTGAACATAATGAAAGTATATATAGTTAAAATAGATATGCAATGACTCAACATGAAATCAATTATAATCCTGTGGCAAATTTCTGAATGTGAAGTGATGAAAAATAAGTCTCCAATTTGGCCAAATGTATCTTAATTTGAGCATATTTTTACTGCCTGAAAACAAGATTTTCCAACAGGACAAAACAAAAGGATCTTGTTTTAAAAATATAAAAGAAAAGTCTCCCTTGGAATGAGAAAATAAAGCAGCAGTTCATGAAATAACACTAAATGTCTTTGTCCCATTGGTGAATCTTGTTTTAAGACAGTCAGAATGTACTTAAATCAAGATAAAAAAACACTCAATTCAAGCAATTATTACTTCATATTATATAATTTTGTGTCGGGGAGCTAAAGGGGTACAAGTTGGAGACCACTGGTTTAAAATTAGCTTGAATCAATAAAATATATTCAAATGTAAGAATGTCTGTGTTATTGAAACTATGCAAGAAAAGCGACTTTGCTCCAGACACAGTGGCGGAACGAGAACATATAATAATTTATAATTCTTTAAATAATTACAAATGAAGAGAAATTAATAACATTACACTGCCCTCTACACGCTGTCACATTGTGTAAAGTCATGCAAGTGGGGGTGATTTCTGAAGCCTGGTCATATCCAGCCTAGTCCGTGTCCACAGTGGCAGCCGTCAGAAGAGGAGAGACATTCCACAAGTGAGTGAAGAGAAAGTGCGAGTACTCACCATACTGTAAGCAGCCAGTGAACTAGAACTATCGCCTTGAAAAACACAGGGAGAAAAACATATTGAGACGTGTTGTTTCTTAGCTTTTTGTTTCAGATGTACTAAATCTTTAGACGATAAACAAGTAAATTAGGTTAGTATTTTAAAGAAAGCTGGAGTACCTAACTTTGGCAAGGCAAGGCTAGTTGTATTTGGTATGGCACGATTCATAAACAAGGCAATTCAAAGTGCTGAACAAGAAAAATATAGGAACAATCACACAAGGCTTTGAAAATCATGAATCAAAAAAGTGAATTTTAATATTGTCAGAGAAGAAGTATCTCACATTTTCAAGAAGACTGTTGTTTTTATCAGCATGAATCTGAAAGGCCGCTTCCTCAACTTTAAATCCATAAAAGGTATATTGAGGTAAATCAAAAATTGCTTGTATTGAATGCTTTTTATCTTAATCTGAGTACATTCTGACTGTCTTTAAACAAGATTTTCCAGTGGGACAAAGCCATTTAGTCTCATTTCAAGAACTGCTGCTTTATTTTCTCATTCCAAGGGAGAACTTTCTTGTATATTTTAACAACAAGATCATTTTGCTTTGTCCCGTTGGAAAATCTTTTTTTAAAGGCAGTCAAAATGTACTCAAATTAAGATATACTTTAACCAGATTTGAGACATTTTTGACTTGTTTTTCTTCACTTTTTGCAGTGTGGTTCCTTGATCATAAAACAGTTTGGTTCTATCACCAGTTCTGTACATGCAGGTCTCTTTAAAACAGCTTTATCAGTGAGAGATGAGAGTAACCAGCCCTCTCTCAGCCAATCAGCTTAGTTTTGGAATAAGATGAAAATACAGCGTGGTGTCCTTACAGACTTTTCTTGGATAAAGAAGTGAATGAAACAAGAAAGTCAAGTATCCCAGCTTTAAAATCCTCTATTGTGCATACATGATTGGTATGGATTGTCTATCTCTCTGTTGTGGAGCCTGTTGGTTTGAATTGCAGAATAACGATACCGCTATATATCTTTAGTCTCAGTCACAAACACCAAACTTTATGAGAAGCCGTTTAAACATCATTTAGGTAGAGGCCTGATTACATTTAATATCATATTTGCAAATAGTGAAATATAGATCCTCCCAAGACTAGTTTGACGATGTGATTCCAGCTTCTTGCATCTGAAATCCATCATTTCACTGCAGCATGAGCATTAGTCTTGAGATCCAGATGCTAGTATAAGATTTTAAAAAAAGATACAATTAAAAAAAATAGATGTGGTGCCCAGAGTCAGAACTAAAAATGGAGAGGCAGCATTTCAGATTCATGCAGTTAAAATCTAGATCTAAAGTCTTCTTAAAAATGTGAGACAGGCTTCTTCTCTGACAATGTTCAAATCCAGGTTAAAAAACAGTTATGTTTGGCTGTGCATACAACTGAGGGATTTTATCTTTTATCTTTTTAATGTATGTGAACTGTGCTATACAGATAAACTTACCGTGCCAATATAGTCAAATTTTAACATACAACCAGTGCATTAATTGTACAATAACTACAGCAATGTGTGTATGCGTATTACTGTCAACATCAGTCATCCATTACACAAAACAAAAGCAACAATGTCCCTTTGATATTTTGCTCGTTTGACTGAGGAGAATTCACCAAACAAAACCCACATAAATAACCTTACCTTGAGGTTGATCGCCGGGATTTCCATGACCAAGACGTAGAAAACAATCAAACTGCGATCTGACTCACTGCTGTAAAAACCTTTGCAGTCTACATGAAGAGGATACAATACTTTTTTTTCTGTCACAAAAGTTGGTTGACTCCTCCTTTCTCCTGTGATCGGCCTGAGAGCAGAGCCATGTGACAGCAGCCTGACCGGGGGCCATGTGACTGTGGCCCCGGCTCCACCCACCCGCACACACCGCTGGAGTTTTGTATTTTTGTTGTTATTGATTGAAAATAAAAGTATGTTTAAGTCTTTTATTTATACATTTTTTTTATTCTATATATATATATATATTTAGTTGTTTTTATAATAGTTTAATTTATTATATGTCAAGCTGGCAGTCTTTTATATGTTAATGTTTTACTTTTATCGGTGCAGCACTTTGGAAACGTGTTTTATAACATGTGCTATACAAATAAAATTGATTGGATTGTGTTTTCCAATAAGTAATCAAAGGTAAATGGACAATAACTAGGGGGAAGGAAGGGTGTTTTGTGATGGAGCAGCAGCATTCCTGATTGGCTCTTTGGTTTTTATGGCGTTCCTGTCAACAAAAAATAAAAACAAAAAAACTAAACATTTTTGGAGCAATTTCTCAGAATTCCATTGGTGTGAATGAAAGCAGTCAACATGACGGGTCTGGGAGTTGTAAGTAAAAAGTAGTTCTGTTTAGCAGTGCATACAACTGAGGGATTTTATCTCCACTCTTTTTTAACGTACTATGATTCTTTATGTGTGATTGTTTCTATCTTATTTTGCTCAGCATTTTGAGTCGTGTTTGAATTGTGTTATATAAATAAACTTGCCTTGCCTTTCCTAAGTAAGTAATATTAATGCATACATACACTATACACATACACACATACATTCATTGTACTGCTACTTACACTAAATCCTTAAAAATTAAAAAAAAAAATCCTAAAAAAGTAATTTCCTTTATGATACTTTTTCACTCATTAGAAAACAAAACTGTAAAAATATAATTAATGAAGAAGCAAATTCTACTGACAAAAAATATTAGAATATGAATATTTTTTAATAATTAAACCCAAAATGTAAAAACACAGAATTAACAATCCAACATAAACAATAAATAAAGTGTGCACATATTTTAACATGTCGATTCCAACTAACATTCAGAACATAAAAATAATAGAGTTAGAGTTGGGGAACAGTGGGTTTATGTACAGTACAGCGCTCCGAGACGGTCTAGAATGAATAAATCAGATAAGTTAGCAGATATATGCGCACAATGTAAATGACAAAACTGCAAAAAACATCAAACTTGAGATAATAATCGTGGTTTTTTTCTTAATCTGAGCACATTCTGACTGTGTTAAAACTAGATTTTCCAACGGGACAAAGCCATTTAGTGTTCTTCAAGAATTGTTGCTTTAGAAAGATAATTTTTCCCATTGTCTCATTCGCAAATCTTGTTCTACGGCAGTCAGAATGCGCTGAAATTAAGATACATTTTGCTGAATTTGAGCAATTTTTTGGCTTATTTATCATCACATTTTGCAGTGCAGGATGTCCTTTCGCAGTCACAGCTTACAGAAGTGAAAGATGTTGTGCATTCAAGTCAAACTAACAAATAAATAAAGGTGTTGTGGGTGAGGAGGACTCCGTGCAGACGTTGAGGCTCAGATGGTGATGAAGCCGCCCTGGTCGCTGCTCACCGACTCTGGGACCACACAGCGCCCCCTTCGCCGGGTCACGCGCCTCTTCCGGTGGAACTTGGCGTAGCAGCGCAGGCCTGCGAACAGATTCAAGGGCATTAAGTCATTTACTACTTGAATATTTAAGTTCTTACAAAAGTGTTCCATGTAAAAAAGAGGAAAAAAACTACACAATGCAAAAACAAAACATGTATTTGTAAACTGGAGGTGGCTTCACTTTCTTGTCTCCATGTTTTCAGATCTGTCTCCATAGCGACGAGCAGGTACCACAAAGTCCCAACAATGTCTATGTAAAAATCTCTTTTTCAGAGTAGAATAAAAAATATTTTAGACTAGCTTCTTCATTTTGGTAGATTCAAGTTGGGGATTCTGATAAATGTTTTGATCAATAAACGTTATTTTATGAATGTTATTTTATGAACATTATTTTATGAACGTTATTTTATGAACGTTATTTTATAAATGTTAATTTATGAACGTTATTTTAAGAACGTTAATTTATGAACGTTGATTTATGAACGTTAATTTATGAACGTTAATTAATGGAGATTATTTCAGTGTTAGTGACAGTACAGTGAGCAACTGTGAACTAACATTTCAGACTCTATTCTTGAGAAAATGTTATAAAAGTAAATGTAAGTCTGTAAGCATGATTAGTTAGTGACATGGATGATGTAAAACGTGATGTATAGATATGGATATAATTTATTTTCCATTGCCTGTATAGAAGATGACCTTCTGTAGTGTTTCTGAGGGATCCGTGACCTTTGGGAAGCACCATTATCTGCACAGTCTCCCTGCGGCTCAGAGAATTGACTTCAAAGCTGCTCTGTCCATGGCCTCGCACCAAAGTACATCTGTGACATGTTAGTGCCATATGAACTAACTCGGACTCTGAGGAGCACAGGGACGAGCCTCCTGCTGGTGCCCGGAGTCAGGACTAAACATGGGGAGACAGCATTTCAGATTCATGCAGCTGAAATCTGAAACAGTCTCCTTGAAAATGTGAGACAGTCTTCTTCTCTGACAATGTTCAAATCCAGGTTAAAACAGTTCTTCTTTAGCTGTGCATACAACTGAGGGATTTTATCTGTACTCTTTTTAATTTACTGATATTATTCATTATTTCAATGCCTTGTGTGATTGTTTCTTTCCTTAAGCACTTTAAGTTGCTTTGTGTATGAACTGTGCCATACAAATAAACTTGCCTTGCGTATTACAAACACATTAACCTCAGCATATGTCTACTCCACAGTTTACGGTGGTGTTTTTGGTGAACGAAGAAGAGGCTGACCTTCTTCACACATGCAGTCGTCGTAGCATTTGTTGTTGAGTCCTCGGTTGTGCGCTTTACACTCGTGCTGCCGCAGGTCACAGCAGGATCCTTCATCAGAACAACCACAACACACAGAAAAGTTATGTTTTTGTGATGCCATGAACGTAGGCGGACAGAGGGTGTTCACACTGACCTGGGAGACAGTCCAAGTGATGGTCACATGGCTCCACCAAATCTGAAGTCTCGTTCCCATTACTGATGTTTTTAGTTCGCCTCTTGTCTGAGAAACCAACAGAAACTATCATTTGCAGTTTTGGCACATATTTACACGACCAAAGCATTGCCGTTGAGACATGTTACAGTGATATGAAAAAGTTTGGTGATTGATTGAGTCTTCTTAAAGGAATAGTTCACCGTTTTTACATACTGACATATGTTCTTACCTTACCTTAGACTAGTTAATACGTACCTGTCTGGTCTTAGTCCGTGCGCTCTGTCATGCAAACGGAGCAAAAACGGGAGCACAACCGCAGCCTCCTCTGTATATTTTGTAGCACCAAAAGGTAGCTCCCGCTAGAAGCTACCAAACTCTTCCAAGTGTTCCCTATTAAATGTATATAGTTACGTGACATGTTACACTGCAAAGTATAGTAACACAGAAATGTAACAGTCGATTTTCTCAGCGGATAAAACGGGTACTATATTGTGAGGCGTAGTAATCTGAGGGGCGCTACGTCCGCGCACTAACTAAGTTAGTGCGCGGACGTAGCGCTCCTAACTTCTCTGCGCACTAACTTCTCTCCGGAGACTTCTCTCTCGCTGCTACTGTGTGTACTACAAGTCACGCTGCTTCTATTGACGGAAGTGAGCGCATGACAGAGCGCACGGACTAAGACCAGACAGGTACGTATTAACTAGTCTAAGGTAAGGTAAGAACATTTGTCAGTATGTAAAAACGGTGAACTATTCCTTTAATAAATCATTGGTTGTTTGAATAAGAAGTTTCAGTTAAATATATCGTATAGGATACAAACAGTGACATATGAGAAGTGAAATAAAGTTAAAAAATCATGTTAATAAAAAATAAAAAAATCGAGTAGGTTTGATGAGTTTTGAGCATGGACAGCCTGTTTTTAAATCACATCCCAAATAGTCAATAATCTTCAGGTCTGGAGACTGAGAAGGCCGTTCCAGAACGTTGTACTTGTTCCCTTGCATGAGTGTCTTTGTCGATTTTAGTGTCGTTGTCTAGTTGAAAGATCCAGGCCCGGGGCAACTATCAAAGTGAAATTTGCCGTTTGACCACAGTGCTGCGCCCAAGGACCCTTCTCCAGCTGTTGATGCTTGGCTTGGTTTGATTTTACAATGCATTTTATTGGGCACCGGAGCACCTGGAGGAAACCCACCAGACACAGAGGGAGGAAACATGCACACAGAAAGGCCTGGGTCGACACAAGATTGAACCCACAACCGTCTTGCTGTTGCCCCGGTGCAACTATCACAGTGATTGTCTCCTTTATGATACATTTAACTGACATTTCTTTTCTACCGAACAACCCAATGACTTTTAACGGAAAGACATACACATTTATAGACATACACATATAGGGGCGCCCAAGCTTTTTCAAACCACCGCACTAGCAAAAAAAACAGTGTACTAAACCTTTTTTGTTTGAGGACGGCCATGTGTCTGGCTTCATGTCTTCGTAATCAGTCCAGTCGAAAAGAGCCATGTCCAGAGTGGGAAGCACGTCTCCCTGGCCCTTGCCTTTTCCAGTTTTCTGATGAAACAAAGACATGTATATATATATTATCACAGCGGCAGGTGGATTAGGTACAGTGCATGTAATTATGCAAATACATAATCTTTATGTCAAACAGCTTTAGATGTCACAAATCTGTGTGTGTTCTGTACAAGGCGATGTGAATGGAATAATGTATAAATGGATATGGTAATATGGTGATGATGAGATATTGAGCAGGAATGGATCCAGGTCAGATCTGAGGTTTGCAATAATGTTTTATTTACCTAAAAACAAATCATGGGGGTAAAATCATCTAAACTGAAAAAGGTCTAAAATAACAGTTATATAGACATTATTACAGACAACATGGAAAACAATTTTACGCCAGATTGAATCGTATTGTTCATGTGCATGTTTTACATTTGTACTTGCAGAAGATTAAGATTAAGAAACCTGAAAATATCCAATGTTAGGGGTATAGGTTTGTATGAAGTGTGTTTGCTTTTGTTGTGCATCTGCAGCTGTATTTTAGTTAAACCTTTCACAACATGGATAGATAGAAATTTTATTGATCCTCCCTCCGTAGGAGAAATTCAGGTGTCCAGCAGCAGAAGACTCATCCAGGTCTGTTGTACAGTCTGACAGCCGAAGGAGCAAAGTACTTTGTGTAAGTTTTAATTTTATACATTTGGGTTTTTACTCTTCTTTAGATTAAATTTTTAGCTTGGATTGAACCAAAGCTGAACTAAAGCTAAAGAAGTTTTGTGGACAGATAAATGTTTTTGATCGTTATTTTGAGCGTGCCTTTGTAGAACTCATTAAGTTGCGAACATTCATAGTTATTCCCATTCCTTTAAAAAAGAAGAGACAAAATGAAGTTTGTGCCTGGGAAAAGACCCAAGGGCATGGCTCCCGGACCTTACTTTACCCAGGTTTGTGCTTGAGGCATTTATCAAAAACTGTACAGAAAACAATCAATAAGTGTGTCCCGTGCCAGTGTAATGGGCCTACAATGAAAAATCAATTAGCTTGGATTAATTGCAAGGCTACCTTGTGTTTTGCTGCTCATTAAGCCACCCACAGGAGATCAAACATTAATTAAGAAAGCATTGTGCTTGAGAAAAGGAGCCTATAATTTTTCCACTGTTGTCCAATATTATTGGTCTGCAAAGCCACTTCTGTAAACTGAATACCAAGCAGCCTCTAGCTTTATGTTAACAGCCGAACCACAGAGATACGCATCATAGATCCTGATTTTCTCAACAACAAAACAAAAGGGTTATACTTCATTCTTGCTCCTTCAATATGCTAAAGTTAGAGATTTTAACAGAAGGGTAGCAGAAGAGCAGGGAGCCAAGGAGAGAGCGTAAAAACACAGACAATCAGCTCTAGTATTATTGTACTAAGTTCAATTATAATATATTTCTGTAGACATGGAATAGTTTTTTATAACTATTTTTATAAAGTTATATGGATATCAATAATCGGGAATATTTCACTTAAACACTGACCTTTCCCAAGTGTGAGACAGATAAAGGATCTCATAATCTTAAAGTACTGCACAACTTATTATATGTTTGTGGACCATATTAAACATAGCCAGTTAAAGACACACAACTTAGGATCTGAAATAGTTTTAAGTCTTACATAACTGTTTTATAATTGTTTATAATTGTGAGTATCTTTTAGAATGATGTGTATATTTGTTTATATGGATGGATGTGTTTCTGCTGCTGGACACCGGAATGTAATCTACTAGGATTAATAAAGTATCTATCTATCTATCTCAAGTGTTCTCCAACCTTTTAAAGCCGTGGCACACTTTTACATTAATAACAATAACATTTCTCACATCACTATTAACAGTAAGTGCATTTCTCAGAACAATTAGTACAAACCTCTCTCTCTCTCTCTCTCTCTCTCTGTCTCTCTCTCTCTCTCTCTCTCTCTCTCTCTCTCTCTCTCTCTCTCTCTCTCTCTCTCTCTCTCTCTCTCTCTCTATGTTTTCCAATGCAAAAAATAACCTGAAAATACTCAAGACAGCAGGGCACATAGAACCTGTACAGCCAAAAACTACAGTAAAGTTATACATAAATGTTCAGGATCTGGTTGTTCTTCTCCCCCTCCCTTTGTTTTTCTCTGCAGGACGTGTGCGACGGGGGCGTGGCCGGCTCATCTTCCATTCATCTGCAGTGTTCAAAAGCCTGGTTTCCACTTCGCTGCCAGATTAAATGTGTCATGTCAGTGAACAGTGTCTGTATTTTTTGTACTTTGTTGACTCACTAGTTTGGATCCTGTGTTCAGGTCCGCCTTTTCGACCAGCCAGCCTGCCTCCTGTCTCACCGCCAAACCTTTTGTGATGATAAACCTTTGTTTTCTGAATCACTCTTCAATCTCAGAGTCTGCTTTGTGGTCAAATATACAACCTCTAATACATGACTGTATTCAGTGAGGTAACTGAGTAAAAGACACATACAGTATGTATTTCACATAATTACTGCATATGCTCTTTGCAATTCTACAGCATTGTGACAAAAAATACAGTCACTTATCTAGAACAAACATGAGAAATACCATTATGTAGAACTACTGTATATGATTCCTGGACTGCCAGGCCTTCCTGTCTGTCTGGCCTCATATTTTCATTTATCATCACAGCGGATGTCTTCCCTTGAAGGCAACACATTTTGACAACCATTTCAACAATTTTGTATGTAATGAAGCATTTCAAGCAATGAAATAAGGACTATTAGTTTTATAGATAATGACTATTCAGCATTCATAAGTATGTTTCATTTTGACTGAAATGACAAAAGCAAGTTATAATGTTATCAAACAGCAGAGAATTGAATACAAGTAACTGATACATGTCCAAAAACATTTGCCATTTGTTTAAAGGAATGAGAAACCGCTACAATGATTTGCACAAATGACTCAATGTTGTGGAGGTTGAACTAATAGTTGTGAGAAGTTTCATTCTGATCCGAGAAAAACCCCAAAGGAACTGAAAAAAAACTGTATTTTGAACAATTTCTAAAGGCAAACCAAACAACATCTTAAGGCACAGGTTAAAAAACACAAATTTATTGATTTATTTCAGCCCATAGCTTGCGGTGCCTGTTTTCTCGCACACTCGCACGTCATTTGAGGCCTGTTCACTGTTTATGGCTAAGTGAACAGCTGAAATACTGAATTACAGCCTATTTTCTCCCCGCTGCCAGCCACCCCCTCACTCAACTCCCGCTGGGCCACAACAGACGCAGTCCACATAATGAGTGCTTGGTTGGGATGAGGTTACCTGTGGTTTGGTGGAGACCGGTGGCGGCGTTGGAGGATGCTGGTTCGTAACTGTGGTAACCATAGAAAAGCCAGAGCTGGGGGAGGGGGGGTCATCGAACAGGGTCAAGCTTGAGGAGGGGGAGTCCTTGAGGGGAGCGCCGGGGTCCTGAGCTGTGGAGAGGCCCATGGAGAGATAATCATATATATTATCAACAAACTAGGATCAAAATACAGTTTAAAAACAGATTTACTTTGTGCTCAGACATAAAGCCACATTTTTTTTTCTTTCAAATACAAGTAATTATCTAAGTAGCAGCTGTCACATAAAATAATGGATGATTCAGAACAGATACAACTAAAAATTATCCATTAGTTACAGTTTTTCCTTTTGACAATGCAGGAGGGTCTATTTGTTGTCATCCGCTCCTTATGGACCAACGGCTCTATGTGTGTTTTTTTTTTTTTTTTTTTTATCATTGCATTTCTTGTGTTTGAACTGTTTGATGTGGTTTGAAACAATTTCATAAAGTCCTCCCAGATAACTGCTATGGTGATTTAGGGCGATACAAAAATAACATCTAAATTGTTCAATCTTTACCAGTTGTAATCAATGTTTTAGCCAAGCGTTTTGCTCAATATTTAAAAGAAAAAGAAGAATCCTGAAAAGCAAGATGAAAACAATTATAGAAATGTGTTTAATAATAAAAAACACATTGGGAAAACATTGAAAACAGTGAGTGAAAGATGTGCAGTGGTACATGTGCAGAAAGAATCAGTATGGTCCAGTACAATATGGTTATGTATTTCCACTTTTTTTATATAGCACATTTTGTATGTATAAATGAATGTATGTATTATGTATGATGCAGAGGGTTTGTCACACTGGTTTATTTATAATGTTGGCTGTATGATAATGTTGTCACTGCATGTCTGCCTGTTTGTATCCCGCTGTGGATCGTGTACTGTGTGTGTGTGTGTGTGTGTGTGCGTGTGTGTGTGTGTGTGTGTGTGTATTAGTTTTATATTCTGTAACATCCACTTGCCAGGGAGTCTGTGAATGGAAATGTGCTCAAGGCTATATCTGCTGTCAGATTTACACGGGCTTACATTTTAGAGTAAAGTAAATCAAGGTATATTATGTTTTAATTACTATCAAAGCTGGGGTACTTCATCTCTCTCCTCATATTTAAAGTTTTACATATTTGTTCCAATAGAGTCTTGCAAACATGAGCATATTAATGACAACATGTCGTCTTGATCCTGTTTGAAAACATGTTGTATTTTGCATACTTGTACGAAAGAGCCTCGTGAGTTACTATTTGAAGCTTTAGACTGAGACTGAGACTTGATTTTTTTTCTTTTACTTTTCTGTCTGAAAAAGCTGCTTTTTGAAAAAACTGCTTTTTGGGGTTTTGGGGCCAAAAACTATTTAGATCATGGGTGTCAAAGTCAAGGCCCGAGGGCCAGATCCGGCCAGCAAACCAGTTTTTAGTGGCCCTTAAGATTTATTTTTATTATTATTAACTAGCAGCATTGATGGTAATGGGCGACCAAGGAAGGTTATACATCATCTATTTTCTCAGGTAAACAACCAAATTAAATGTATTCTAACATTTTAACCCAATAACTCATCCTTATTAGTTAAATAGTTCAATATAAAATGTGTTTAACTTCATATTTGATCCAGTTTTGGTTCAATCTAAACAATAAACACATTTTGTTTTCAGAAAAATAAACCAGAATTTTATTTTTTTAATTGGCCCCTGACCAAAATTAGTTTGACACCCCTGATTTAGATAGACTTTGAGATGTACGTTTGTGACTTCCTCTTAATTACAAAGATAATACAAATCATTCTTCTTATAGTTTTGATTCTGTGTTCAATAAATAATCTCCCACATCACCAATAGATATTTTTGCTTTGACCTTCAGTTTACCAAAACATCCAGTAAAAAGTGATAGACTTCTACGGCCTGAGCCCTGGATCTACAGCCCGTCTGTCTGTGGGAGCGAATCCTTCTCTCAATGTGGCTCTCCCAGAGGTTTCTCACTTTTTTCTCACTGAGCAGTTTGTTGGCGTTACCAGAGAGTCTAAAGACAGTGGTGATGATCCAAGACATTTAAGGACATTTATTGACTTCTATGGACATTGGGCATCCACCCCTTATGGACCAATGGCTCTATATGTCTTCTTTTTGTTGCTTTTCCTGTGTTTGAACTGTTTGATTCTCTGTATTGGCAAGTCGATGGTTTGTAAAGTCCAGCTGTGATTTAGGGCTACACAAACAGAAATTAAATTGAATTGATTGATGACAAACACATTCACACTAACTCACCTTTTCCATGTTTCCCTTTGTGGCCTTGTGTGTGCCTGTGGTGTGCCAGTCCACTCCCATGGCCTTTCCCTCTCCTGTTCCCCAGCAGGTTATTCTGGCTCATTCGTCCTCTCTCTCGTTGACCCATCTCCACCCGGACTGGACTCATGCCCTCCAGCCCCAGTCCGTCATCCTCAGGCTGTCCCAGAGGGTGCAGCGAGCGGTGGGATGGAGGTCCAGCTCTGGAGCCCTGAGAGCCAGTCCGCCTGCTGCCACTGCTGCTGCTGTACCCCTGGAGGGCCTGTAGGGGGTGCTGGAAGGTGTTACTCCCTCCTGAGCTTTGCCTCCTCTTGGCCCTGGGCTCCACTGGCTCCGCCCCCTCACACAGGTCCACGAGGGTCAGCAGGACAACCAGGAGGGCAGTCCGAGGGAGTGTCATGGTCTGGGAACAACACCTCCTGAGAAAACATACGCAAACACATACAAATTCACACTGTGTTTTTTAATGATGTTTTAGTTTTACAATAATCTAGATATAGGGATTGGTGATGTAATGGATCAAGATTAAGATGAACTAGAAACTTGCAATGGCTGAAGCCATTGCGATTGACTGCGGAACAGATCTAATGTGGAAATCTGCTAAAAAAAATCCTTGAAATCCTTTAAAAGGCCTTGAAACTGTTAAAATACTTGATAGATATTTGAAACTCCTGAAGTCCTTGAAATTGTTGAAACCTTTAAACTCCTGAAATCCTTGAAACTGTTGAAACATTGAAACTCCTGAAATCCTTGAAACCCCTATTAAGTTCCATTATACTGGTTTATATGTAAAAAAAAAACCCTATTAAGTTGCATTATACTGGTTTACATGGAAAAATCCCCATTAAGTTGCATTATACTGGTTTACATGAAAAAAACCCTATTAAGTTGCATTATACTGGTTTACATGAAAAAAACCCTATTAAGTTGCATTATACTGGTTTACATGGAAAAATCCCTATTAAGTTGCATAATACTGGTTTACATGGAAAAATCCCCATTAAGTTGCATTATACTGGTTTACATGAAAAAAACCCTATTAAGTTGCATTATACTGGTTTACATGGAAAAATCCCCATTAAGTTGCATTATACTGGTTTACATGAAAAAAAAACCCTATTAAGTTGCATTATACTGGTTTACATGGAAAAATCCCCATTAAGTTGCATTATACTGGTTTACATGGAAAAATCCCTATTAAGTTGCATTATACTGGTTTACATGTAAAAACCCCTATTAAGTTGCATTATACTGGTTTACATGGAAAAATCCCTATTAAGTTGCATTATACTGGTTTACATGGAAAAATCCCTATTAAGTTGCATTATACTGGTTTACATGGAAAAATCCCTATTAAGTTGCATTATACTGGTTTACATGGAAAAATCCCTATTAAGTTGCATTATACTGGTTTACATGGAAAAATCCCTATTAAGTTGCATTATACTGGTTTACATGTAAAAACCCCTATTAAGTTGCATTATACTGGTTTACATGGAAAAATCCCCATTAAGTTGCATTATACTGGTTTACATGAAAAAAAACCCTATTAAGTTGCATTATACTGGTTTACATGAAAAAACCCTATTAAGTTGCATTATACTGGTTTACATGGAAAAATCCCTATTAAGTTGCATTATACTGGTTTACATGGAAAAATCCCTATTAGGTTGCATGATTACACTGAAGTCCTTGAAACTGCTGAAGTCCTTGAAACTGCTGAAGTCCTTGAAACTGTTGAAGTCCTTGAAACTCTTGAAATCTTGAAACTGCTGAAATCCTTGAAACTGTTGAATCCTTGAAACTGTTGAATCATTGAAACTGTAGAAATGTCTGAAAGAGCTGAAGTCCTATTAAAATGCATGGGCCTATTAAAATGCATTGCAGAATTCTCAATGCAGATTTTTGTCCGATTGCGGAAAAACCGGAAATCGCTGAAGTCCCAAAAGTAATAGCAATAATCTCCCAAACATGTGGAACGTTTTGATGTATAACTTGTGGAAATTGTTGAAAATGTGAAAGCTGTGAAACGTGTCAAAAAAAATGACGGAATAAAGAAATACAAAACCAATGGTTGACTGCGGAAGGTTCCGCAGTCAATCAATAACAGAGTCATCTGCAAATTTAAGAATGTGATGATTTTCATGGCGGCTGTAGTAACGACTATGTTGAACTAGAAACTTGCAATGGCTGAAGCCATTGCGATTGACTGCGGAACAGATCTAATGTGGAATTTAGCTGAAAAATCCTTGAAATCCTTGAAACTGTTAAAATACTTTAAACATCTTTGAAACTCCTGAAGTATTTGAAGCTCCTGATATCCTTTAAACTGTTATCCTTTATACTGGTTTACATGTAAAAACCCCTATTAAGTTGCATTATACTGGTTTACATGGAAAAAACCCTATTAAGTTGCATTATACTGGTTTACATGGAAAAATCCCTATTAAGTTGCATTATACTGGTTTACATGGAAAAATCCCTATTAAGTTGCATTATACTGGTTTACATGGAAAAATCCCTATTAAGTTGCATTGTACTGGTTTACATGGAAAAATCCCTATTAAGTTGCATTATACTGGTTTACATGAAAAAAACCCTATTAAGTTGCATTATACTGGTTTACATGTAAAAACCCCTATTAAGTTGCATTATACTGGTTTACATGGAAAAATCCCTATTAAGTTGCATTATACTGGTTTACATGGAAAAATCCCTATTAAGTTGCATTATACTGGTTTACATGGAAAAATCCCTATTAAGTTGCATTATACTGGTTTACATGGAAAAATCCCTATTAAGTTGCATTATACTGGTTTACATGGAAAAATCCCTATTAAGTTGCATTATACTGGTTTACATGGAAAAATCCCTATTAGGTTGCATTATACTGGTTTACATGTACAAATCCCTATTAAGTTGCTTTATACTGGTTTACATGTAAAAACCCCTATTAGGTTACATTATAGTGGTTTACATGTAAAAATCCTTATTAAGTTGCATTATACTGGTTTACATGTAAAAACCCCTATTAAGTTCCATTATACTGGTTTACATGTAAAAACCCCTATTAAGTTCCATTATACTGGTTTACATGTAAAAACCCTATTAAGTTGCATTATACTGGTTTACATGAAAAAAACCCTATTAAGTTGCATTATACTGGTTTACATGGAAAAATCCCTATTAAGTTGCATAATACTGGTTTACATGGAAAAATCCCCATTAAGTTGCATTATACTGGTTTACATGGAAAAATCCCTATTAAGTTGCATTATACTGGTTTACATGGAAAAATCCCTATTAAGTTGCATTGTACTGGTTTACATGGAAAAATCCCCATTAAGTTGCATTATACTGGTTTACATGGAAAAATCCCCATTAAGTTGCATTATACTGGTTTACATGGAAAAATCCCTATTAAGTTGCATTGTACTGGTTTACATGGAAAAAACCCTATTAAGTTGCATTATACTGGTTTACATGGAAAAAACCCTATTAAGTTGCATTATACTGGTTTACATGTAAAAACCCCTATTAAGTTGCATTATACTGGTTTACATGGAAAAATCCCCATTAAGTTGCATTATACTGGTTTACATGAAAAAAAACCCTATTAAGTTGCATTATACTGGTTTACATGAAAAAACCCTATTAAGTTGCATTATACTGGTTTACATGGAAAAATCCCTATTAAGTTGCATTATACTGGTTTACATGGAAAAATCCCTATTAGGTTGCATGATTACACTGAAGTCCTTGAAACTGCTGAAGTCCTTGAAACTGCTGAAGTCCTTGAAACTGCTGAAGTCCTTGAAACTGTTGAAGTCCTTGAAACTCTTGAAATCTTGAAACTGCTGAAATCCTTGAAACTGTTGAATCCTTGAAACTGTTGAATCATTGAAACTGTAGAAATGTCTGAAAGAGCTGAAGTCCTATTAAAATGCATGGGCCTATTAAAATGCATTGCAGAATTCTCAATGCAGATTTTTGTCCGATTGCGGAAAAACCGGAAATCGCTGAAGTCCCAAAAGTAATAGCAATAATCTCCCAAACATGTGGAACGTTTTGATGTATAACTTGTGGAAATTGTTGAAAATGTGAAAGCTGTGAAACGTGTCAAAAAAAACTAGAAACCGTTGCAATGGCTGAAGCCATTGCGATTGACTGCGGAACAGATCTAATGTGGAATTTAGCTGAAAAATCCTTGAAATCCTTGAAACTGTTAAAATACTTTAAACATCTTTGAAACTCCTGAAGTATTTGAAGCTCCTGATATCCTTTAAACTGTTATCCTTTATACTGGTTTTCATGTAAAAACCCCTATTAAGTTCCATTATACTGGTTTACATGTAAAAACCCCTATTAAGTTGCATTATACTGGTTTACATGTAAAAAACCCTATTAAGTTGCATTATACTGGTTTACATGGAAAAATCCCTATTAAGTTGCATTATACTGGTTTACATGTAAAAAACCCTATTAAGTTGCATTATACTGGTTTACATGGAAAAATCCCTATTAAGTTGCATTATACTGGTTTACATGTAAAAATCCCTATTAAGTTGCATTATACTGGTTTACATGTAAAAACCCCTATTAAGTTCCATTATACTGGTTTACATGTAAAAACCCCTATTAAGTTGCATAATACTGGTTTACATGGAAAAATCCCCATTAAGTTGCATTATACTGGTTTACATGGAAAAATCCCTATTAAGTTGCATTATACTGGTTTACATGGAAAAATCCCTATTAAGTTGCATAATACTGGTTTACATGGAAAAATCCCCATTAAGTTGCATTATACTGGTTTACATGGAAAAATCCCCATTAAGTTGCATTATACTGGTTTACATGGAAAAATCCCTATTAAGTTGCATTGTACTGGTTTACATGGAAAAAACCCTATTAAGTTGCATTATACTGGTTTACATGGAAAAAACCCTATTAAGTTGCATTATACTGGTTTACATGTAAAAACCCCTATTAAGTTGCATTATACTGGTTTACATGGAAAAACCCCTATTAAGTTGCATTATACTGGTTTACATGAAAAAACCCTATTAAGTTGCATTATACTGGTTTACATGGAAAAATCCCTATTAAGTTGCATTATACTGGTTTACATGGAAAAATCCCTATTAGGTTGCATGATTACACTGAAGTCCTTGAAACTGCTGAAGTCCTTGAAACTGCTGAAGTCCTTGAAACTGCTGAAGTCCTTGAAACTGTTGAAGTCCTTGAAACTCTTGAAATCTTGAAACTGCTGAAATCCTTGAAACTGTTGAATCCTTGAAACTGTTGAATCCTTGAAACTGTTGAATCATTGAAACTGTAGAAATGTCTGAAAGAGCTGAAGTCCTATTAAAATGCATGGGCCTATTAAAATGCATTGCA